TTTTCCACTGATGATTCAAACGTGAGTTTTGGGCAGTAGAGTAGCACTTGTTGTTTGTCATTTCTCTGATCACAAATGCAGACAGAGTTTTATGTTTACGCGGCGCGATGCAATGCAACGCAACGCGTAAAAAGACAGTATAAGTCATTATAATCAGTAATTATGTCCCCACTGGACGCAACAAATGCCTCGTTTGTAATGGGTTTTAATGTTTTTGTCTCGTCGCTCCGGCCGGGACACAACATCAACAGTACGTGAGGGGCGTAACATTTCCATCTCACGCTTGAAGTATTTGGCCAATCACAACGCATTGGATAGCTGGCCAATCACAGCACACCTCGCTTTTTCAGACCGATGAGCTTTGTAAAAATCTACGCGTTTCAGAAAGGCGGGGCATAGAGGAGAAACAATAATGTACAGTATGTGGAAAATAATGTTTTTTTTTTACTTTAAACTGCATAAACACATTTCATTACACCAAATACACAAAATAATGTTCTTTTTAGCAGCATCATATGACCCCTTTAAATTCGTTTTCAGTGGATGCTTGAAAACATTTGGTGAAAATAATCTGCAGCGCGCCTCCTGTCCTGCAGATGTCAGCGATCTTCACCGATGTGCTCTTCTCAGAGGCGCATTCAGCCTCTATCACTCATTTGGCTCAGTTTTATTCACAGGATTTCGCCAGCTCTACATTCCATGTCACTCTGTCCTTCTTACTGAAAATAAACAGTGTCCATGGCTAACTTTTTCCAGACAGTATTACACTTGTACTACACCGCACGCCCTGTACTGCGGTCCATCTGTCATCAAAAAACCTCATCACCTGTATTCGGTGTTAAAAATGTTAACAGAATGTATGCAGTGTAATATAAGTAAACAGTGCTGTGCAGTATTTAATTTCAATTTAAGTAGTTATCCAGGGTTGAACAACTAGGTTTGCTGTGCTTGTTTGTAGGGCTGCACAATTTGTGATTAGATATCAATATGGCTATAAAATAACAGCAACAACAGCAATAATAATATTGTTGTTAATATTACTACATAAAATTATAAATATTGCTAAATAAAATCAAAAGAAATATTATTATTGTCATATTTTACTGTAAAATAAAAACATAAAATACATTAGCTAAAATAAAAATTTAAATACAAATACATTAACTGTAAAATTATAGTATTATAAATACTAGTGGCACTAACTGTGATGTTGAGTCAGTCGCTCAGTCCATTGAGCCATGGCAATGACAGCTCAGTGCGGTGCGAGCTCTGTAACATTGCTCCGCTTCGTCCCTCATTTGGTGTGTTTGGCTTCCCATGCAAATGCATGTTAAAGCTACCAAAACTCAGAACACATGCAGAGATGAAGTCCGTGTGGAACAGCACTTACTGCGAAACAAGCCGCTCTGAGATGCTGCACACGCTGGCAATAATGAGCTGCTCACGGATAAGAACACAGTGCTGTGCTTCACTCTGAAACACGCAGCACATATATTTAATCATAGCCTTTGCGATCTGATAATTGCACCAAGGCATAATCGCTATTGACCCTTGGCAAAGACCCGCCCCCCTTACTGTTGCTACGTCCGACAAGCCATCGCACTCTCACGCCACACATGTTCTCACGCAGTGGAACATACAAATTTCGATTTTATTTCGATTAATCGTGCCGTCCCAGGACCAAATCTCATGCATCATATCTCAAAATACACCAAATTAATTTTGTGAGATTTCTATCCACTGGCATTAAGGTAGACTCTTGGGTGTTTATGTAAAGTCGATCATTTTTAACATCAGTGGCATTACATATTCCTAGCAGACAATAAGACTGATGCTGCATACAAGTGTAAAAGCCTCTTATGTATCCTACAATGCATCCACAATGCACATTTATTGAAAAAATGAAATGAAGATGAGAGAAATGTTGATTATAAATATATCTCAGTCAGTACCGAAAACTATTTTACCCAATATGGTGTGAACGCTGCTATGCTTAGAGTATCTAGAGCGGCTGCCACTTGTGTTGCTATGGTAACCACTGTAACCATACTTTCTGTTGCTAAAGAGAGGGATGTGGCGCTGTGTCCGCCTGTGAATGTGAGAGGACGAAAGAAACAGAGAGGGTGACAGATGGCCAGGGTAGTTGTGTTATCTGCAAGTACTGGCGCCGTCCAATCTAACATTTACATTGCAGCATGTTTAATGTTGCAACAGTCAATTCAACATGTTGTGATTTAATGCATTTAATACCACCTGACCTGACCAATAAGAACATTTTTAGAATGAGTTTTCCTACAACTGGAGAAATCTTTTTGTGAGGCTGCTGGTAAACTTCTTTTAATCTTGACACAGTGTCTAAAAACAGACACTTGCAGGGCAAAACATGATTCAGCGGCAGTGATTTGGCCAAAAATAATTTGAAATTTAAAACAATTCAAGAACGCATCCTTTTGAATTCTTCATTTTAGGTCTTTTCCAGAAAATACTTACATATGTGATTAATTGCGATTAATTTAATTAGGTGTATTTAATGCCATATCATGTAATTAATTTGATTTAAAGGGGTCATATGATGCGATTTCAAGTTTTCCTTTCTCTTTGGAGTGTTACAAGCTGTTCGTGAATAGATAAGATCCCTAAAGTTGCAAAGACTAAAGTCTCAAATCCAAAGAGATATTCTTTATAAAAGTTAAGACTCGTCCACGCCCTCCTAAAACGCCTCGTTTAAACATGCCCCCACATGTCTACGTCACTGTGTGGGAAGATTTGCATAATGCCGCCCAAATGTTCACACAAAGAAAGAAGGCATAACTTTTATTCTTGCTGTAGTATTGTTGCCGCCGCCGCCATG